TTTAATGTTTTTTTTTTCTTAAATAAATAAAATACATAAAAATTAGGTTTAGCATTTTCATTCTTTTTCTCATTAAATAAAATTTTCTTATTATTATTATTATTAATCATTAATTATTTTGGTAAATACTCTTGTAATTAAACAATTAGTAAATTAGGGTTAAGCTTAAATATTTTTTTTAACAAATTAAAAATAGTGTAGAATTAGGGTTCCTAATAATAATTAATTTTCTTTCTTTATTTTCATAAATACCAAAAAACCATAAAAAAATAATTTCTTTTCTTTATTTAATAATTAATTAATCTGTAATTTCAATTTAATTTCTTTAAAGGGTCCAACGCCCTCGCACCTTCGATTATAATTTCTTTTCGCGCGTTTATTTACATTTTTCATTTTAAATATTATGTAATTGCCCCAAATCCTTGTAATAATAATTAGGACATTTACTTTCCGCACTTTTATTCAAAATCAGGTCTTTGTTAATTTGGCGATGTATAGACCCGCGCCTTGTAATAGCGTAGGACCTTTATTTTTCCGCATTTTAATTTCCGCACCCCTTAAACTACTAATCACATGAAAGAATGTATGCCCAAATAAAATCAAAGCGTAGATCACCAAAAGCATGCACAAGATAAAACTATAACTGAAAATGACACACAATTCACACACCACTCCTAGGGTACGCCTCACTGTTGCCTTGCCCCTCGAAACGTGGTCGTCGAGTATAGGACGTCTTAGTGAGTCCTTATGTTCCATTGATCTAGTTGCCTCAAACAAGTTGCCTCGGAATAGTTGCCTCGAAACGGTTGCCTCGGAATGAAAAGATCAATGGCATAAGGGTAGCTTCTAAGGTGTCCTACTGTTGCTCTGGTGACCACACTGTCCCTAAACTCGAATTGACCCGAACACCTCCAACGGTGGTGCTACCTACCTCTCAATGGTGGGATGGCACTACCTAAAGGACATTTACACAACCTAATTCCTTAGGGTAGGTAGATGACTCGTAGATACTTGCTCTAATTCAAAACAAATCAAAAACTCTTTTCACACCGACACTTTTCAAAAAGCTTTCAAAACCACTTTTCAAACACTCTTGAGGACTGATACAAGAGTCGAACTGAAATTTTAAAACGAAACTTTTTCAAACCCACTCACGATTGAAAAGCAAACAAACATTTTTGAAAACACAAATGAGCAAGTATCTAAGAGCCCATGGATAACCATGGATAGAAAGGGTGCTAACACCTTCCCTTTCTATAAATCTACCTCCCGAACCGAGAGATAATCTCATAAGGAATTTTTCTGTGCTTTTGTCCTTTCCTTGTTGGAGAAAATAAAAGACGGTGGCGACTCTTGCTTCCGCGACATTTCGCGAACCCGCTTTAAACAGTCAGTTCCAGATCCACCGATCACAATTGGCACTTTTAACTCTGATTAAAATTTTATTGTTCTCAGAGCAAGCTTGCAAACCTCACTCTAATGAGACTAAATTTTTTAATATGTTTAAACTCAGAGGTAGCTTACAAATCTAACTCTGTTGTTTTAAACTATTGTGCATCTTTCAAATTGGTTAAACCAAACACATTCATATTGATTAATTTTTTCTGAACTATCAAAATTTTTCTAAATGATACTGTCATGAGGAGGTTGCAAACCTAACTCTGAAGTAATCACAAATTTTTTGATATTAATCACAAGGGAAGCTTACAAACCTCACTCTGTTGAAGTTGAAAATTTTAATAAGTTTTAAACTTAATGGGAGCTTACAAACCTAACTCTGATGTTTTTAACTATTGTGCATTTATCAAAGGAAAATTGTTCACTAAAATTCATAGTATTGTCATCATCAAAAAGGGGGGGGGGGGGGGGGGGGAGGATTATTGGAACAAGTTTGGTTCATCAACTAATCCTTGAAGTTTTGATGATAACAAGTACGTTTGTATGAAGAACAACTTTGTCTCTAACAATTGTTCAATGTGAAGAACTAAAAAAGCACTTATGACTTTGTAGTAGTCAATGTTGAAAATAATAAGAAGCTGAGCAAAGCACTTATAGTGAATCTGGGAGATCAGTAGAATCTAAAGATTTACGAGGTCAAAAGACTAGCATCTTTAGAAGCAAGATAAATCTAATGAAAAAGATATTGACTTTCAAATATGAACAAGCTTCATCATTAGTCATCAGAAACCTCTGATTCAAATGGGAAACGTCTAGAAGAAGATCTTAAAGAATCACCAAAACAAATATGGAATCTGGGTTTAGTCATCAAAAGCCTCTAATTCAAAGGGAAAACGTTTAGAAGAAGATCTTAAAGAAGAAGCAAAACAAATATAGAATATGGGTTATCAAGTCAATAAATTTACAAGAATCTATCCAAAAGGCATCTGGGATAGACTTTGTCCTTCTACGATGTTGATATCTCAAGCACTGAGGAACCCACCTTGATCAAGCTTCATCATATCATATCAGAAGCTTCTGACTCAAAGTAATTAAAGTATGGAGAATGCATCTAACCTTTGATCAAGCTTCACCAAAATCTATCAGGAGCCTCTAACTCATGACGTTGGTTGCAATAGGAAGAAGTGTGGAAATATTATTAAAGTACATCTTCACGTGACTACAGTACAACGTCCAATCAAATTCATTGTAAATGAGACAAAGGATTGTTCTCTGTATTATTACTATTCACACATCTTATCCTAGCTCTACTACAACCACTATACTCTTTTATAACTAATGTCTCTAAACATATATCTATTGTAAGGATACTCAATCTCTCTTTCTCCAACGAATCTATTTTCTATATCTATTTAAAGAGAAACTGGAAGATTGAAAACTTGAGAGAGAAAAGTGAGTAACAACAATTTAGATCATACATGCTCATGAGAGAAGAGAATTTGGCAAGACAAAAGAAAGAAGCTGCTATCAGAAGAAGAAAGTCTCAACAAAGACGAAGACACATATAGAAGAAAACAAATTTGTGTAACACTTCATAAGAGATTGAAAGAAGCTGCTAGAAAAATAAAGAAAAATATTGTTGAAAATCTACTTGAAGCTAAAAGAAGAAATCTAACACATTGCAAATGGAAGCAAGAAGAATATTCAGCAAAAATGAGCAAGCGTTAAGAAGATCTTCAGGAACAAGACATAAATACTTAGAGCTTCTTGTTAAATCATTTTAAGTGTTATCTTTCTAAAGCTTAAATTTGTGTAATATGCTTTCTGTAGAAGTAATCATGTATACATACAAATGTTGTATGTTAACCAATTGGTTAATTTCTTTAAGGGACCAGGTTATGATCAGAGGTTATGATCAATATCCTAGAGATGTCAATAACAAGTGTTATTGAGGATTTCTTTGAGTGACTAAGTTTAGTCGGATTACGAGATATTGACATGATTGTCTTTGAGTTGTTTTTCCTTGAGGAAATAAGTGTTTAGTCAAGATCCCTGAGAAGACATTGACGGATAGTCTTTGTGGTTGTAATCATGAAATTGATTATTGGATTAAGTCCTTGTTTATAAGGCAAAATCACTCTAGTGGTGAGTGAACTGGACTAACCTTATTAACGGTGAACCAGGATAAAAATATTTGTGTCTTTTTATTTATTTTTTTACTTTGTGCTTGAGTATTGTTTGATCTTTGGGTGTTCGATTTTTTTTTTAATTTCTTGAAATCCAATTCAAACCCTCCTTTCTTGTATTTAATTGAATCTTCAAACAAAAGAGAAGGAACTGTTATGAATCTCATTCATGATATCACCATAGTTGAAACTAAGAACTTTATGCCATAACGAGTTATCTTCTACCAAAATCCTCCAACCCCATTTACTCATAAGAGCTCTATTAAACAAATCGCAATGCTTTACACCAAGTCCACCTTCCGATTTCAGAAAAAAAATAGTAGACCACGCCACCCAATTAATCCTCCTATTAGTTTCTTTACCGTTCCATAGAAATTAGTGTTGATTGTTGATAAAAAAATCTTTGATAACAACTTTAGTAGCTTTATAGAAAGAAAAAAAAACGTGAAAAGAGTAATCGAGTTCAATATCGAATTGAGCAAAGTTGCCTTCCCTCCTAAAGTTAAAACTTCCACCTTCCATGAAGCCAATCTATTTTGAACTTTTGCAAGAACCAACGACCAAGAGGAATGCCTCCTTGGATTACAACCAATTTGAATACTAAGAAATATAAAGGGAGTGGAACCAACGCCACATGACAAAAAATCAGAGGCAGCTTGCAAAAAAACATAATCCACACTGACGCTAATCATTTTACTCTTGTTGAAATTCACGGATAACCCTGAACAAAGCTCAAAACTATGCAACAAGGCTTTTAGAGTCGCTATATTCTCCCAAGAAGACTGACCCACAAGCCATTGTGTCATCGACAAACTGGAGAAGATCAATTTATAAGCCCGCAAGACTTTGAGCTGCAAGAATAAAGAGAAACGGAAAAGAAAATCCCTTTGACGAAGATCCATTTTAACTTGAAAGTATTTGATTGGACTACCATTGATCAAAACAAGAAAGAAGCATTACAAACACAAACTTTAATCCAATTTAACCATTTGAAACCGAAATTCACTCTTTTCAGAATATAAAGAAGATATTCCAAAAAAAATAAATTAAAAACCATCTTGCAAATCTCTATTAATCCATAGAAGGATAAGCCTTCTTCATTAGTATCTTTGTCATATATGAGAACGTTAAACTAAATAAATGCTGCCCGACATTAAGTATAAATGTGCATTTAATTATTAACATTTTTTACCAACTAAAAGTATAGCAACATCTGAATGATAACTTTAGTAAAATATATTCTAAAAAATAAAATTAATATGCATTAAATCAAAACATAAATACTGAATCATTTCATTATTATACTGGAATTACATAAAACAAATATAAAACTTAAAAAAATTAAAAAAAAATCTAAACATAAATAAATCTATAAGCATCACCATACATATTCATAGACTCCTTACTTCCAAATTACTAATGATAAATCATGATATGAGAAGTGCAATTGCTAACAACATCATTGGAGGAAATATTAACTGAGATATCACATTGGTTAGTAGCCATAGCCTTCATTTTGATAAAACTGAGAAGAATCACTTTACCAGGAAGTTCAGCTTTTGACATCAATGAAAATTTATTCCCATTTTGAATATCAAGAAAAAAATTAGGGTTGCGTATCAATTCACCAACCATGAAATTTGCATGAGTGGTGACATTAATTCCACCACGTGCTGGAACAAGTTTTGAAGGAACTGGAACAGTACCTACAAGAGTATCTCTATAAGTGATATAGCTAAAGGAATCTATATATTTGAATTTCCCATAATTTGAATTCTTTATTATAACCAAAACGGGTATAGTTATATTTGGAGATAAGTTATCAAGGAAATCGTAACGTGAAAGTTGGACAATAATATTTGGATCTCTCAGTTTGAAAATTGTAAAAATCAAGGCTACAGTTATGGCTGCGACAACAATGAGAACCATTGCAGATGCACTCAAACATATTTTCATGTTTCTAGACACCATGGTTTTTGGGTGATGTTGAAATGGATTACTAGAAAGTATTGATATCTATCTATGTTTCATGTAATGCTGATGATTGTGGGTCTATGTAATGTAATATATATAGTGAAAATTGAGGCTTTGGGCTCATATAATGATTAAATTATTATATATTTTGGATTTAACTTAGGAAATAATTTATGTGCATGGACAAGGTTAATAGTATATGAGCTCATATAATAATTAAATTAGTATAAATTTTTATATTTTTTTAGAGATTTAATTTAGGAAACAGTTTTATGTACACATTTAAAGAGAATATTTTTTACATCATGGTTGATTATGAATAATCATATTATTAAAAATCTTAATTTAATTATAATTAAATGTTCATGAATGTTTAGAATATTAAAAAAAAAATTAAGTATGAAACTTCAAAAATTCTTGTAAGAGAATAATTTATATAATTTTAAAAATAAAAAACAATTAAAATATTTTATTAAAATTGATTTAAAATCACACGGCTTACCGTTGGATTAAATTTATAGTATTCATGATGTACTTAATTGAGTAGTTAAATGATACTAAGTGTTACATAATCTTGGGAGGTAGTTCAAATTCTATCTGCATCCGTTATAAAATTGTCATTAATGCTATGTTTATCAAAATTATTTCGTCTCTAATATATTATCTCTGTTTTTTATTATAATTCAATTTGAATTTTTTACACATATTAAAGAAAAATAATAATTATTATATAAAATGGAGAAATTATAAAAAATTTGATAAAATTAAAAAAAAAAAAAAAAAAAAAAAAAAAAAAAAAAAAAAAAAAAAAAAAAAAAAAAAAAACAAAAATGAATGTATAATAGAAAAAATATTATTAATTATTTATTGATATTATAAAATAACTTATATTGTAGTACAATTTTTTTTCAAAATGACTTATAATTAAAAAACGGAGGGAGTGATTATCATTGGACAAAATCACATGAATTATAAAAGTGATAAGTAGTATTTAACTTTTTAATAATTTGTATTATTTTTACAAGTTTTTCTTTTAAAATAAATTTAGATTATATTTCTATAATAATATTTATTATTGATTATAAAAAATAATAAATACATAGAAGTTTGTTGATTAATTTAATTAAAACTTTAAAGAAATTATATATATATATATATATATATATATATATATATATATATATATATATATATATATATATATATATATATATATATATATATATATATATATATATATATATATATATATATATATATATATATATATATATATATATATATATATATATATATATATATATATATATATATATATATATATATATATATATATATATATATATATATATATATATATATATATATATATATATATATATATATATATATATATATATATATATATATATATATATATATATATATATATATATATATATATATATATATATATATATTGTGACAAAAATAGTAATAATTTTTATTTTCTCCAATTTAAAAAAAAAAATTGGATAACTACCTTAAAAGTCACATTCTTTTATTTATTGTTGGTATTAAAAACTTTACACCAAAATATATTAAAATTAAGAGTGAAGACCTTTAAAGGAATATCCTATTTACCACTAAGTTAATGTATATTGATGATAAATAATTTTCATGATTTATAGTAATATTAAATAATTCTGAATTTAAAATAAAAAGTATAAATTTGAAATCTTAGGTCACAAACCCAAATCCCTTCAAATTAAATGATAGTCACTTTACAACACACAAGTGAAAACACTTAATTTTAAATTAATTACAATAATTACTTACACGGTAAACAAAATAGTATTTGAATAATAGATTTATATGAAATTGTTGCACTTGCATCAAACTTTATACAGAGAATGATCTTCTCTTCCAATGATAAATTCAAATGAATATAAATTAAATTGCTTTGAAACTTTTCTCAAATATGATGTGAAAGTTATGATGAAGAAGTTGCACTTAAAATTTTTAATGGTGAATATTTAACTTAATAATTGAGAATAAACATTTACTTATTTACTTATTTTAAATAACACACAAGATATTTACTTATTTCAAATAGATTTAATTATATTTTCAACCCCCCTATTTGACTTTGATTCACGAAATTTGTCCCTCTATTATAAATTTAAATAGTTTTGATCTCTCTATTTTAAATTTAAATAGTTTTACTAAAACTAACGATATTTTTGTTTTTAAAATGACAAGTTACTTGTTAAACATGAAAAATTATGTTATATAAATTTATTATTGAACTTCGTTGATAAAAATGTAAGTTAAAAGGTCACGGATTTAATATTACTATAAATTATAAAAATCATATACAATGAATGTACATTGACCTAGTGGTAAAGGCATACAATGTGCTTTAAAGTTCATAGGTTCAAGTCTTTCTAAGAACCAGTTTTGAGTTTTTTTTTTTTATATTTTTAAATCTGAATTGTTTAAAAATAAATTAAAAATAAAAATTAATTTAATATTTAATAAATGAAAGATAAAAATAAAATTCAACCTGTCAGTCCAGTCACGATTTAGAAATATAAAAAAAACGATTTTGTAAAGGATTAAATCGTATCCTTTTTTGTGGGGGATTAATTTGGGATTTGTAATTATTGTGATGGACCAAAATGGATATTCACTTTAAAATTAAATTTTATATATTTAATTGAATTTATGAGATAATTCTGCATATAAAAGTTTGTTTGCCTTTCCATATAATTTTGAATTCAAGTCAGAATTCGCTAACTCAAAAAATAAAATTTTAAATTGAAGGATGCCTCCTTTATGAGATAATTGAAAGGGGCATCCTTCTGAGCTACACCAATTTAACTCATAAATTGAGTTAAAGGGGTCTCTGAGATCCGCCAGGTCGTGGTTGAGCATTTCTCTAGTCACTTTAGAGAACCCTTCTTTGACCGCCCTAGGCTTGATGAGGTCTCTTTTTGCTCTCTCTCAGACGAGGAAAATACTAGTCTTATTGTGTATTTTCTCCTATCTGAGATAGACTAAGTGGTTGCTTGTTGTGATGGTAATAAGAGTTTGAGTCTTGACGGTTTTAACCTCTCCTTCTTTAAGAGGTTTTAGTCTCTCCTTATAGATTAGTTTGGAGTTATGTTTCAATAGTTCCATCAGTTGCCACTCTCCCTCGCAGTTTCACCTCTTTCTTTGTTACTTTGATACCTAAGGTTGATTCTCCTTATCTCTTAGGAGACTTTAGACCCATCTCCCTTGTTGGGTCTTTTTTAAGATTCTTTCCAAGGTTTTGGTTTCTAGACTTGCCAGTGTCATGGACAAACTTATCTCTGTCAACCAATCTGCTTTTCTTAAAGGTAGATACTTAGTAGATGGGGTGGTGGCGTTGAATGAGCTTGTGGATTTTGTTAATAGGAATAATAGATCTTGTCTCATTTTTAAAGTTGACTTTGAGAAAGCTTATGACTATATTAGCTAGTCTTTTCTTGATTACATGCTTTGTAGTTTCAGGTTTAGTGCTAAGTGAAGAAGTTGGATTAGAGCTTGTGTGTTTTCTGGTAACCTTGCGGTTATGGTTAATGGTTTCCCGATCCAAGAGATTAGTATCCGAAAGGGAGACCCCCTAGCCCATTTTCTTTTTCTCCTTGTTAGCGAAGGGCTGAGTGGGTTGATCTCTAAGGCTGTTGGGTTAAACCTTCTTCTTGGTGTTAAAATTGGTCATCAGACTCGATAGTCTCCCATCTTCAGTATGTTGATGACACGATTATCTCTGATGATACTACTATAGATAATATTTGGACCACCAAAGCCATTCTCCGTGATTTTGAGCTAGTCTCAGGACTTTGCGTGAATTTTACCAAGAGTTCCCTAATTGGTGTGAATCCCGACCAAGCTTTCTTATATCTTGCTTGTGATTTTCTTCATTGTAAGTAGGAGTCCCTCCCTTTTAAGTACCTTGGGCTTCCGGTTGGTGTAAATCCTCGCTTCGTATCCACATGGGAACCCCTAGTCGATCTTTTAACTAGTAGGCTCTTATCATGGAAGCATAGGTATGTCTCCTTGGATGGTAGAGTGATCCTTCTTAATTATTTTCTTAATGTTATCCTTATCTTATTCCTTTCTTCTGATCATCAATAAGTCTTTCCCTTGTCAAGATAATTGTACATACACCTGCTTGCCTATACCCTTGATTTTCCCTTTTGCACCATTGCCAAAAGTAACATAGCTACTTGAGAACTGTTTTAGCTCATCAAGATAGGTCTTTTCGCCTATCATATGTCTGGAGCATCCCCTATCAAAGTACATATCCTATCTAGAATACACTCTAAGGGATGTATGAGCTATGAGACTTGGGACTTCTGTTGCAACTGGTTTTTAAATAGAGTCGTCACCCTTAATTTTTATCCTAAAGGAAGGGAATATAAAGGAATAACCCAAAAGTTCAGAGATTCTAGATCTGGACTCAGCTCTAGACAAGGGGAAGGTGTTAGGCACCCCTTATCTACCTTGTTCACAAGGATACTAGGTTTAGAAGCACATTTTTAGGAAATAGGGTTTTTAATTATTATTGGGAAAAATGTTTGAATTTTAGTTAGTAGGAAAAGGGTTTTGACTTTAATTAGGGGGGAAAAGGGTTTTGATTTTAATTAGGGGGAAAAAGGTTTTGATTTTAATTAGGGGGAAAAGGTTTTTTATTTTAATTAGGGGGACTCACCACGATTTTTGATCATATGCCTACGTGTCCTCTTAGGAGGAATCATAGTCTCATTTTCGTAGTTCGCGGATTGTTTTATATTTTTTATAGATTACAAAATATATTTGAATTTCCCGCATACGTAGTCTAAGAGTGTGAATGGCGGAGTTTGTTAGACCAAGTGTGTAGTTAATTTAGATATATTCCTATTCCTTTCCGAAAATTAATTGTTCGAATTAATTTGATTTGGGAAAAAAGATTTGGTGTTTGGTTGAATATTTTTTATATGTAGAGCGGG